CAAAAAAAAAATAATAAAAAATAATTTTTAATTAAAACATTTTAAAAATTAAAAATTAAACAATTTAAAACATTGTCATGTGTAGTAAGTGTGTAAAGAGGCTGTTAAGTAGAGTGTGTCGTCTCCTCAGTGTGTTTGTGTGTGTGTACTACGCAGGACTAGGTAAACACATCACGTATACGGCCTGTCTAGTGTTTGCTGGTAGCTGCAGTGACCTAGACCTACAGTTTGTGATAAGGCTACTAGTACTACTAGCTACTGGTACTGGTATATTCTAGTGGCTAGTGAAGAATGGTAGTTGGCGGGTGGGTGCTCTGGTATGGTTTGCTCCTTCTTTCCTATCAAACATTGGTATGGTTTGCTTTACTTCTTTCCTATCAAACATCTATCGCCTTTATCTCTCCTCCTTCTTATTTATGTTTGTTACTTGCTCTCTTGTTCTCTCTCTCTTATCTTCGGCACTTATGTCATGGCCTTATTGCGCTGCAACTGCAAGTGCTGTAAAACTCGTACTAAAACTTTTTTAAAAATAGTCAGTGGCTAGTAGTGGTAAATGGTGGTGGAGTCTTTGGAACAAGATTAACCGGAGCTAGTGGAAGGAAGAAGGGTTCCTCATTTCTTATCAGCCATAGTTAATGTAGGGCTCGCTATCTGGATGTTGGGTCGAGGTTCTTGAACTTGTTAGATTCTAGAAAGAACAAACAAAACAAAGCAACAACAGAAAAACCCTCTTCTCAATGCTGGTTGATCATGTGCTGATTGAATCTGTTTTATAAATGAAGGCCCAACTTTTTTTTTTGCAGCTTCAAAAGCAATGTAGATCTAATGCAAAAAATAAAATAATTTCTAAGTTCTAAGTGTATATCTTTTGACTCATAAAATAAAGAGAGTAGTGAAGGTCAAGCTGATCTGTTCTGTTCTAGTTGGGGACTGCCACTTGCCTTGTTCTCTGTCCCCGTCGTTTTATACGAGAAACATTCTGAAATTATGAAAACTGGGCCAAAAAGATGGGAAATTATGAGATTCTGTTACTTTCAACAAAGAATGGTAAAGGAAAATAATCAGAAACTATGCAACATATGATCAAATTTTGCTAAATTATGCGGGGTGCATAAACCCACGGGGACAGTGTTCTCCTGCAGTTTTGTAGCCTGATGTCCTCTATTCACGGGAACACAAAGAAGAGGGGGGAGGGGGGTGTAACGCTTTCTATATCATACAAGGGGATGGGGGGTGTAGATCTCTAACGCTTACGAGATCGGG